GCAGGTCGATGATTGATTTTGTAATCATATCACCAGACCTGTGACCATATGTTCTGGACACTCGGGTAAAAAGAGGGGCTGAGCTGTCAACTGATCACCACCTGGTGGTGAGTTGGATCAGGTGGCGGGGGAGGACGCTGGACAGACCCGGTGCACCTAAACGAGGGTGTGCTGGGAACGCCTAGCAGAGGCCCCAGTCCATGAGATCTTCAACGCACACCTCCGGCAGAGCTTCAACAACATTCCGAGGGAGACTGAAGATATTAAGTCTGAATGGACCATGTTCAGCATCTCCTGCTGCTGCATTAAGCTGCGGCCGTAAGGTGGTTGGTGCCTGTCGTGGTGGTAACCCCCAAACCAAATGGTGGACACCAGAGGTGAAGGGAGCCACCAGGCTGAAGAAGGAGTCCTATCGGGCTTGGTTAGCCTGTGGGACTCCGGAGGCAGCCGACAGGTATCGACAGGCCAAGCGGAATGCGGCTCGGGCAGTGGCTGAAGCAAAAACTCGGGTGTGGGAGGAGTTCGGAGAGGCCATGGAAAAAGACTTTCGGACTGCCTCGAAGAGATTCTGACAAACCGTCAGGTGTCTCAGGAGGGGAAACCGGTGCTCTACCTGCACTGTGTATAGTGCTGTTGGAGCGCTGCTGAATTTGACTGAGAAAATTGTCTGGCGGTGGAAGGAATACTTCAAGGACCTCCTTGATCCCACTGACATGTCTTCCGAGGAGGAAGCAGAGTCTGGGGATGAGGGGGATGACCCGCCAATTTCTGGGGGGGAGGTCACTTAAACAATTCCTTGGTGGCAGAGCCCCTGGTGTGGATGAGGTCCGCCTCGAGTTCCTGAAGGCTCTGGACGTTGTACGGCTGTCCTGGTTGAAAAACCTCTACAATGTTGCGTGGAGATCAGGGGCAGTACCCCTGGACTGGCAGACAAGACTGTCAGAAAAATGGGTGGTCCCCATTTTTAAGAAGTGGGACTACAGGGGGATCACACTCCTCAGCCTCTCTAGGAAAGTCTATGCCAGGGTGCTGGAAATGAGAGTTCATCCGCTAGTCGAACCTCAGATACAGGAGGAACAATGCGGTTTTCGTCCTGGTCGCGGAACACTGGACCAGCTCTTTATCCTCTCAAGGATACTTGAGGGCGCATGGGAGTTTGCCCAACTAGTCTACCTGTGTTTTGTGGACTTAGAGAAGGCATTTGACCGTGTCCCTCGGGGTGTCCTGTGGGAGGTGAACGCAATAAGTTGGACTCGTTCCCCTTGGGTAATGGGCTCCGCCAGGGCTGCCCTTTGTCACCGATTCTGTTCATAATTTTTATGGACAGGATTTCTAGGCGCAGCCAAGTGGCGGTGGGCTTTCACTTAGGCGGCCTCGGAATCTCATCTTTGTTTTTTGCGGATGATGTGGTTCTGTTGGCTTCATCGGTTAATGGCCTCCAGCTCGCACTGGAATGGTTCACAGCCGAGTGCGACGCAGCAGGAATGAGGATCAGCACCTCCAAATCTAAGACTATGGTTCTCAGCCGGAAAAGCGTGGAGTGCCCACTCCGGGTCGGGGATGAGTTCCTGCCCCAAGTGGAGGAGTTTAAGTATCTCAGGTCTTGTTCGCGAGTTAAGGGAGAAGGGAGCCGGAGATCGACAGACAGCTTGGTGTTGCGGCTGCAGTGATGCGCACCCTGCAACGGTCCGCCGTGGTGAAGAGAGAGCTGAGTGTAAAAGCGAAGCTCTCAATTTACCGGTCGATCTACGTCACTACCCTCACCTATGGCCACGAGCTGTGGGTAGTGACCGAAAGAACGAGATCGCGGATACAAGCAGCGGAAATGAGTTTCCTCCGAAGGGTGGCTGGCCTCTACCTTAGAGATAGGGTGAGAACTTCAGCCACCCAGGAGGGGCTCAGAGTAGAGCTGCTGCTCCTCCACATCAAAGGAGCCAGCTGAGGTGGTTCAGGCATCTGACAAGGATGCCTCCTGGGCGCCTCCTGGGTGAGGTTTTCCGGGCATGTCCCATCGGGAGGAGGCCCCGGGGCAGACCCAGGACACGCTAGAGAGATATCTCTCGGCTGGCCTGGGAACGCCTTGGTGTTCCCCCAGATAAGCTAGAGGAGGTGGCTGGGGAGAGAAAGGTCTGGGCTTCTCTGCTTAGGCTGCTGCCCCCGCGACCTGGCCCCGGATAAAGTGGAAGAAGATGGATGGATGGACTACTGATTTAAAGTCTTTAAGATGTGTTTTGACACCAAAGGATTTGATAAAAAAAAAAAAAAGAATGCGGGTTTGAGGCACTTAAACTTTGGCTTCAGCTACTTTTATCTTTTACAGGGGGTGAAGCCAAGTAAACTAGCTGCCTAGTTAGCATGTGTCATACAGACTGGACTTATAAGCACTGGTATGATTAGTGGACAAAGAATAATTAGAAAATCATTTTTGTCCAAAGCTCTACATTTTCATCATAGGAGTTGCTTTTAGAGCCAACCTGGAGTGGCCAATCAACCAAGTACATATTTTGGGCATTTCAGGTTGGCTTATCATTTATTCTGAATAAGTTATGACGCATAATTTGTATGTTTCTGGGACAGTAAATGAAGTTAAAAGAGACCATTAGCATTTTAAGTGATGCTTGTTTGATATTCATACAGATTTTAACAACATTTGTTTCTGAAACAGCTTTGAGCAAGTTTGGAAATCATTTGTGACAATCAAACACTATGTGCTCTACAGTTTCAGAGGGGAAAATACAATCTCCCATCTCATGATGCCCTGGCACAGATTCTACCAGATAATCAGCTGCTCCGCAGCAGAGCGAAGACTGAGCTTCCAGGCACTGCCCAGCTAGACCAGAATACTAAAGCTGAGAGGGCAGACTCTACCGAGAACAAACCTAACATAAACAGCACGTATCAAGTTCCTCATCCACACATGCGGTACGGTGCAAAAATATATGAGAAACAGATTTATTTGATTTATTTCTAAAGTAAATGAAAGACTTAAATTTAGACTACAATTGTGTTCTCATGCTTTAGGCCCCCTCCGCATGACTTTGAGGATGATCCCCACGTAGCAGAGATCTCTGACCTCCAAACAAAGGTGAATAGGCATGACCAATATCTTAACTGTTCAATCAATCAGTGAGGCAATCCTATGTCATATTTAGTTAGCGAACAGTGACACAGAGAGGTCAGTGAAATGAGAAGATGATGAAGCAAACAGTCACAGTTTGGAGATAAAATGAATACATTAACATTTCTCCTTGACTGTAATTGCACTGAAGGAGGATTAAGCTGATGAGGCTTAAAGTGTTCCAATAACATTTTCTTTTCGAATATCTTACCATTTTCTCCTGTTTTATTTACAGCCAGACTATTATGTCTGCACACTGCCTTAAATTGTCTGTGGGTGTAGATTTTATATATGCGTAATTTATCAACAAGTATCAACTGGCCTTTTTTCAGTGCAAAAGTGCATATTTAAAGTTTAATAGACAATGATTATTAATACTTTACATGCAAAATAATGTGGTTAATAAAATGCAGCCAAATGTGAAATCCTCATGTTTCAGTCGAGCTGTCATACATCTGTCCTGAAGTGACTTTATGCATGACATCAGACCTGTTTAATGGCTTTATATCATACAGAATAGAAGGGATCCAGCCAGAGACAGAGATTCCCTTTTATTTTCAATACATAAAAGGACTTTCCAGACTCATCACGGGGAGCTCTCATTCACATCACTGCTTTGGGCCCCCAGCAGAGACGACATCTCATCTACAGTCATGATTGTCACCTCGTCCCTGCCCTTTCAATTAGATGCTCAATTTCACCCCTTGTGTCCCATGGGAGACACAACAACAGCATCCAAGATTGGAATCCCCTAATCGTCACCCCCCCGCTCATACATACAGCTGGACCTGCCTCTTGTCTCCATTCAATTCTGGCTATTCAACTTGATAGAAGAGCATGTGACAGAACAATGGGTCCTACACGCTGCTAGACAACATCCAGGGGCCTTGTACAAAGAAATGCTTTGATAAAAAAGCTCTCCTCCCAGACTCATTTTGTCAGCCTTTAAAGAAACAAATTTCTTTAAAGAATTTCCCAGAAATATATATTTTTTGCTCGCTTCTACAGAAATTCAGCTTTCAGAGAGGAACGTGTGTGCATGTTTGAGTAAACGACTAAAAATTGTGCAAAATCCCCGGTTAAATTTCCCCTAACAAAACACCTTTACAGGATGGAGTGGTATGCCCTTATGAATTTGAGGAGCCAGAGTTATGAATACATTATACCAAACCTTAACCAATCAATTAGAGGAACATCCAAGTCAATGGATTACATTCATTTATGGCTTGCAGTAATACCCCGTGTCTCATGCTACATGCATATCTGAAAACCAGAAGTTACCAGTTATCCTATTTAAAATCAGTTCAAGCCTGTTCATCCCTTTTGCTGCTTTAATTGTTTGTGTGTCTATGGTAATACATCCTGTATTACTCTCTTAAGACATGGGTTTGAGGAGACATCTAGTGGTGGCGCTCGCTCATAACCACTAATATCAAATTGTTTACAGGCCAGTGAATTTATTGTTGACACCAGTCAGTGCATGACAGTAAAATGCCACTATAAGCACTAAAAAGAATGGCATTTATTGATCTGACAGCACTAATAAGGTTCAATGCAAGTAGTAGTAGACCAGTAGGACACAAACAGTGAAAGAGAATTTTTAAAAATATCTATTTTCTGTTACCTACATTGTAGAGGGTAACTTTGCCTCCACACCTAAACAGGAAAACGAGTAAGTCATTGGTTATAGTGGGACTCAGCAGGTGGAGGGAATCCTAAGATCTCTGTAGTGGCTCAGTGGGAAAAAGAATTCCAACTCATAACAATTAATGTGAGTGTTAGTAGATTTTCTTAGTGTACAGGCTGTGATCAGCTGACCTGCTGCTCTTTGTGGATTTACATAACTGAATTCAACAAGATGTCAGCATTTTCACAAGCTACCATGGGTGATGTCCATCCCCTGACACTATACTGTTTCTTTATACTAGACAGCATATAGCTGGTATACAGTTAGGATTCAGTTAATTAATCTAAGCATCATCAGTTTAAATGCAAATTCATCTCTGATGCATTTGCATTTAAACTTATTCTAACCATAAGAACCACAGCCACTTTGATACAGTCCAACAAGGTGCGTTAATGCAAGCTACCCTGTTTATCCTGGGCAAAATACCCCAAATATTCATGCAACATTTGAATGGCACAAAGTTAGTATAGCTTAGTTTGTTTCACAAAAATGAAAACACATAATCTATCAAAACAAGACATTGCATATAAGCTTTAAATTTGCAGTTCATCAGAGTCACTGAGCACTTCTTACCTTTAAATACAACCTCTCTTCTTCCTCTCACGTCCTGTCTGTCTTCCTCCATCTCTCATTGAATTTATCACGCACGCTTTTCTCTCCCTAGGAAATCCAGACCTTTAGCTAGCGACACACTGTGCGTCAAACTGCACACAAAAAGTTTGCGTGTTTTTGCTGATAGAAACGTTTAATTTGTACTTACCTGCCACTTAACAAAACGTTACTTCCGTTATGCTCGCTCCTCTTCTGTGGCGCTAGCTTGATTCTGAAGTACCGCGAACACAAATTGCGGACACCTGCACTCCTTCCGGCCCACCTATAAGCTATAAATGAACCTTTGAACCGAAAGTAACGAGACTGTTTTGCATATGTAATTAGTAGAAAATACGCACATTTGTATAAAAATGTAGGTAGTAAAAGTAAAAAGTTGTCTGAAAAATAAAAAATCAAATAAAGTACAGATACCTGACAATTCTACTATTTGTACTTGGTTACTTCTTAAGTACTCAAGTACAGTAACAAAGTATTTGTACTTCATTACTTCTCACCTCTGCTTTTAAGCCACTGAAAATGTTCTAATGTGAGGCACTCTTTCACCATCAGGAGATTGAAAACTATCGCTCAGCAATGTCTAGGATGGCAGAAGACATAATAACACTTAGGACACAGGTGCTGTCTTTGGAGGCAGAAAACAGTCAGCTCCGCAGTGATCTGTCTCTGCAGCAGGACCTTGGACGAGATCTTCTGGCCGACACTGACATTGATGTCATGACCAAGGCTGAAATTGCTGACCGAATAGGTACAAAAGTAATATATCACTCTAACTTCACTCTCTGGTAGCTTGTGGTTCACGGGGGCATTTAAAAGTAGAGTTTATGTTTTAAAAGTAAAATGGGAGCCAGAGCCTTCAGCTTTCAGGCCCCTCTCCTGTGGAACCAGATCCCAGTTTGAACTCAAGAGATACACACACATCTAATTTTAAGATTAGATTTACAACTTTCCATTTCGCATATATAGCTTATAAGTCTAAAGCTTATAGCTGGGGCTGGATCAGGTGACCCTGAACTCTCCCTTAGTTATGCTGCAATAGGCCTAGGCTGCTGGGGGCTTCCCGTGATGCTGTGAATGTTTCTTCTTCACTCACTGGGTGTTTATACATCACTCTGCATTTCATCATTAGTTATTTCCCCTGTCATCAATTTTCCTTCCCAGTGTTGCCCATTACTTCTTCATGGGGGGTTTGTCTGATTGTTGGGATTTTCTCTGCGTTATTGTAGGGTCTTCGCCTTACAATACAAAGTCCCTTGAGGATGTTGTTGTTGTGATTTGACACTTAAATAAATTTAACATTTAGGTTTTACTCAGCTTTATATTATCCACACACCATCATTTAGTCTTAGAGCAAAATTTTAAACTCCTAAGAAGTTAAGAGCAAATAAAGGACTAGGTGCTCATCCACTAAAGTCAGATAATTTACCACCCAGCTAGCTCTCTCTCAGTGCCGTAACAGACTTAAGGTCATTTCCTTGGCAGATGAAGTCGTGACATCCAAGGCTGCTCAGCATGCGTTAATCCTTGTGAGTGTCCATTCCCAGGCAGACTGTCATTTTGTGATAAGGAAGCTTATTTAGGCCATGAACCACGATAAGCTCCGTGTGTACTACAACCCTTATCTCCTGAAGGACAGTTTGTGGCCCTCGGTGAAAGGACGTTCCAGAAGGTCTCTTTGCTAACATCAAAAGCAAAAGGATAGGATTTAACTCCCATTCCTCCGAAAGATCCATTCAAATTCAAAAGTATATTGATGGATCTTTTGATTATTATTGGTCCAAAGCACATGGAATAAAACTGACATGTTATTGAAACTAGTGTGAAATTCGAACTCATTACTTAGATATGCTCAGCGATCGAGTTTTTAAGTGAATGTACAAAAAACACGTTCCCTGTAAGTAAGAGATGACAGACAGTTTCTGCAGTTCTGATGATTGTTCTGCTCTTTTTAAGCCACTCTAAAATTCAAGCTCGCCAGTGAGGTGAGCAAGGCCGCCACACAAAGGGACCGCATACAACATCTGCAGAACGAGCTCATCCGGGTTAGAAAACACACCACACACATTATGAATATTTTTAAAAATACGTCTCAGGAAAGTGTCTTTCCATTGATTATATAACTCGTATTGTTTTTTTGTGCAGAAAAATGATAGTGAGCAGGAGCTATTAAAGCTCTGCAGAGTCCTCCAGCAGGAGCAGAAGGATCTGCAGCATCACCAGAGTCACTTGGCAAAGATGGCAACTTTAGAGGCCACAGTGAAACAGCAGGAAGAGGTGAACAGTCTGTTACTAATCTAATTTCATGATAGTGAATATGCTTCTCATGTGACTAGCAGCTTATAATTCGCATGTGGGGATATTTATGTTTGTGCCATCCTTATTTTTAGGTCATAGAAAAAATGGAGAAAGCATTAGATGGAAAGCTCAGAGACAAGAATATTCATCGTGGTGACAAAAGGCTGATGCTAATGGAAAGAGGTAGGTGCACCCAGTGCGAACAATTATGGTCACAAAAGCACTGACACTGACTGGAGTGTCTGATCTCCTTTCATGCTGAGAAGATGGCCTTAAAAAGAAGGAAATGAAATCAGCCTCAGCAGCAGAGAATGGCCGTCTCAGAAAAGAGCTGGAAAGGATTCACCAGCTGCCTGCACCACTCAAAACACAGCAGTCAGACCAGGTACTTCTTAAACTCCTTAAATATGCAAATGACTATGATAGTATCCAAATTTTCCCTCGCAACTCCTAAAAGTGACACCTTTTTTTTCTATTTTTACACTCAAGGAGGAATGGAGTTTACGACATAAATTGGAGAGGGCTGAAGCACGAATCCAAACACTGGAAGCTCAGGTTAAGAAAATATAAATAAGATATACTTGGTCTAATTATTTATTTCCTTATAAATATATATATTTTTTTCTTTGTATCTTTAAAGCTGGAGGAGAACGCTAAAGTATGGGGGAGAGAGAAGCAAGAAATGCTGACCAAACTGAGCGAGCACAGGCACGGCTTCATCCGGACATCCACAGCAATCCTTCAAAATGTTCCTTCGGTCAGTCAGGCCTCACCCTTCTCCATATAATTATGGTATGAAGGGATTTAATATTCTCAAATACTGCATGTTACTTCCTACAGCTCCTTATACCAGCAAAGAGGACAGCAGAAGCAAAACCTGTAAAAAGACCTGCAAATGAATTGAACTGTTGATGGGACACAGAGTCTGTGATTTAAAATTTAGATCTAATTCAAATGTGATGATTTAATCTGAAAAAGTGTGTTTAAAATGTAAACCATAGACAATTACATATAAAAACAGATACTTTGTATCAGTTGTATTTTTTTATTCATCATTGGTACATAAATGAACATTTTTGCCAAGTACAAGTGGAATAAATTTGCACAATGCATTCCTGATCTTTAGTATATTTCACACACAGAGTACATGTCACTGAGGTTTTTGCCTCAGTATTTCTTTAACTTATTCCTTCCTTCCTTCCTTCCTTCCTTCCTTCCTGTGTTTTTCTTGCTCTCCCTACAACTCTAAGGTTGGAAGATTTTCATTTGTTGTTCATATTGTGGAGTTTTGTGAAGCCGTTTACAGTTAATTTCATCAAACACGATGTTACTGACTTGCTTGTACAGGTTTCAGAGTCAATATTATGGGCTTGTCTGGCACGAGAATTAGCTCAAAGGTGCTCTTTACTTCCACATGTTGCTGTTTCTCCACTCTGAAGTTCTCGAGAATCTGCAAAGGTAGCACAGACAGTTTGTATGATGTCAGTGTGCCACATATATATGGAAATACTGCTGATTATTTTCTTTATATCTTACGTGGATAAGAAAGAGTTGCATCTCTGCTTCAGCTATTCTTCGTCCTAAACACTGACGGGGCCCAAAGCCGAAGCCCAGACTTCTGAAGTAGTGGGTCTCAGTCCTCAGCCAGCGAGAGGGCTGATACTGCTCCGGACGAAAAAACACCTTGGGGTGTCTTCCCATAGCATATAGCCCTAATTGGACCAGAGTCTGAATACACATACAGACATATACAGACACAACAACATGCATGACAGTTTGTATGAAAATGGTCAAATACTCAAATATAAATACATCATTTATATGTTTTTGTGCCTCCTACCCCAGCTGGGATGTGATAGTTTTGAATAATTATGTCTTCTGCTATGTATCTTTGCAAGTTCACTGCCACCGGATGCAACCTGAGACACAGAAAGAAAACCACTTTTATAAAAGAAAGACAAACTAATGAACTAAGAGAATTGCAAAAGTTCATTCTGATAAAGTGTATCTTTTCTGGTCTTATCTTAAATGTCTTGAACATGTGTTTCAGTCACCTGAGTGTTTCCTTCAAAGCACCTTTGACCAAAGGGATCCGCTTCAGCATCTCCAGCAAGTCTCCCTGACTTTCGGCCCGAGCTGCAGCCACCTCTGCCCTGAGCTCCTCCTGGAGGTTGGGGTGCCTGGCTAATTCATACAACGTCCACAGAAGCGTTATAGAAGTCTGTAACACAACCAGAAGCAGCCTTAAAAATCTGGATAACAGTCACACAGTTCCTCATACTTAAATTTTTTTTTTCTCCTTACTGTATCTACTCCACCCGCCATCAGTTCAGTGACACTGGCTTTGATGTCTTCAATGGACAGCTTGTCCAGCATGAGCAGGCTTGCCAGGACTCCTGGGTATTTCTTTGGAGTGCCTGCATCCTGATGCAGCTTCTTGTAGATGTTCTGGATACAGCGGTCCGCTGATGCAACGAAAGGACAGAAATGAAACAAGAAATTGCACCACAGTAAAAGCAAAAACTGTATTTTGAAATTTCAGAATTAAATTTTCAACCTATGTGTCCCACCGTGGTTGAATATGCCATCCCAGGCCTCCACGTGGTGGCGCCACACCTTTGATCCAGTCTGCTTCAAGAGAGCAGGAGGTATGTACAGCATGGGTGAGGTAGTCTTGAACATAAGGGTGATGCAGTCAATGAAATGCTGAGCTTCTGGGTCAATGTAGTCCAGCATCAAACCCAGACGCTCACCATACAGCACTGAGCTCACCGCTATATTGGACAAAACAAACATGAGATAGAAACAAGTGATGTGTGATTGAGTTTAAAAAAGGCAGGAATAATTAGAATTGAATATTTTAAATAAATGTTAGTCTTACATTCTAATGCATATTTAAAGAGTTCTTGAGAGAGGTCAGTGGTCCACTTGTTCTGGCCAGTTCGCTTGATCTTTTTGTGAACTCTGGCCACAAAATCCTGGCCCACTTCATCCAGCAAAGGCACAAAGTTTTCCAGCATCTTCAAGGAAATCACCTCCTTGTTGAGAATCACACGGTTTGATCTCCAGTCTTCTCCATTCCTGTGTGACAATGAGATTTTAAATTATTTTAAAGTATTTAGCTAACACCGGTAATGCTTACTGAAGAGACTGGTTTTGTCAAAGTGTTTGAATAGTGGAAGAGTTGGAAGAGGACAGTAACAGGACGTACTTAAGAAGAACTCCATATTTGCGATTTCTGTAATCTCTGTATGATGTCCATGGTTCAACCTTCAGCCTTTTAGGATAATGGCCCTCTGCTTTGAAGAGGATGGCAGCATCCTCGGGGTTGATGATATTTACACTTTCATAAGAACCTATTTTTTCTCTGCCATACAAAAAACAAGAAAAGAAATTGTGAGATGAACATTTGACCTTGGAAATTGTAGGTTACAGGTTTGTTTTTTTGTTTTCTTAAAACCCATCACGTTTTGGTCAGCCATGTGCAGTAATTTTTTCATTTTATGTAGAACGAATCAAACAGCCTGGACTCCTTTACCTGTAAATGGGTCCAAAAGTGTTGAAGTTCTGCAACGTGAGGCGGTGAAGATTTCTGAAGCCATCCAACTTCCAGAAATTGTACAAGTTAGCCCAGCCATTCTTCCACAGTCCAGGAACTTCATTGAAAGGCCTGACGACGCTGCTGCTTTCTGAGCATGCCTGTCTGATCACCGGCATGCTGCTGCTGCAGCGCACACCTGTTGCTGTAAGCTCCTCTGCCCAGCACAGCGGCAGCGTCACAGGGCTACGCCAAACACTCCACTTGGCCATCTGAACAACAAAAAATGCTCACTCCGCTCCACCTTCAGCAACTACTCTGGCTCTGCCAAGGACACCTGGTGCAAAAAGGGAGGCGAGAGGCTGGTCTATAGAGTCGGCCCCCCTTTCTGCCCTGATCAAGGCTTTCTAGTTGAACCTCACAGAATAGACCAAAGAACTGATTATGACAGCTCTGCTGCATTACTGAAGCTTTTATCTAGTTTCACAACTCTTTTTATAATCATGTTTCAAACAGTGTTGCATAAAATAACCTTCAGAAAGCACGTTATCTTTGTAAACAAGCATTTACTTGGAATTTGTGAGAAATTATAAGAATATTACAGAAATTCAGTCACAGCATACATGAAAAACACAGTTTATAGTTAAAATTAAAGATTTAATAAATTAATTAAAATGTACTATAGTTGATGTTTCTTAAGTAGCTTTATGAGTTCTTCCAGCTTCATGGCTGTTTTAATGTCTCCCTGGACTTTAAGTCTGCCACTTGTAAAAGCAGCTATTGGTCGCAGTTCACCCTGAAACATGTCCAGAAGGTCACGGTCACTCATATTCAGGGTTACATCTGGTTCTCGACACAAGGACCCTTCCCCAGCTGCACCGCTACCTAAAGTACAAAGAGAAATAGACAGATTTCATTTTTTTATGTTTTCGTACACACATTTAGCGCCAAGTAAAAATTCCATAATCATGACATTTATCACCTTGGCTCAGATCCACATAGTAACGGTGCTGTTGTCCATCTCCTGAGCTGATGTCAAACTGATAACAGGCCCCAACCTGGCGGACCAAAGACTCAGAGAGGAGCAGCTTGACTTTGCTGAGCAGCTCTTCAACACAACCTGGTGTGGCAGTGACAGACTCGGCAGCACTGCTGAGCTCATCCGTAAATGCTATGCTGTCCTCTGAAGAAAGAGGTGAAGATTACAGCACTAATTATGGAAAAGATGCAAGAAGATTTTTTAAGTGTTCTGTCTTACCCTGCTGAGGCCGTGATGTGGCACCGTGGCTCAGAAAGTGCATGGCCAACTGCTGAATGGGGCCAGTGAGGCCTTCAAGTCCAGGTGCAGAGGGCATAATCAGGGGGGCAGAGGGGCTCTCCTCTGGGGCTTTCAGTAGAGAACCAAGGGTAAGCTCTACTCTATCCACCTCCAGCCCCCAAGGACGAGTCATCTCGTTTATGTCCATCTGTAAACATGAAGCATGAATGTAAACATGAACTGATACAGCAAAAGAAATCAGCGCAGAGTAGCTAAAGCATGTCCTCACCCCAAGATATTCCCCTAATTTCACTCTCTCAGTTTGAATCTCCCTGACGGTCTTCTTGGCCAGGCTGTGGGTCAAAGCCTTCTGTGCCGTCATTCTGGTGGAAGCATTGAGATCCTGGACTGACACCACTGACAAGACTGGGTTCCAGATCCTGAACTGGATGTCTGCTCCCACTGACAACACACCACCATCCCGAGTAGTCACCTATAACAGCACAGTGTACTGACAGCTGAATTTACATGAAGCCAAACTGGCAAACGAATTAGTACATAAGCATCTCCGCTTAAGTAAATAACATTCACAGCTCCTAAGAGGAATGGCTTTGCAAAAATCTGAAGCTCAATTGAATATAAATTATGCCATCAACTTGAAGTTTGAATTGTTTTTGTCTTTTTTTTAAGTGTATTAAAGGTAAGAATGACAGGCTAAGCCATATGAGAAGGAAGAAAGTATCTCCAGCACACACAAAATAAATTTCATGGAACTGAAGTTACTGCTTTTAAAACATTTTTAAATGGTAAATGATGCGTATAAGATGTGTTTTACCAGTATTCAGAATTCAAAAGTGTTGTGTTACAGTGTGGCAAGAGCAGAAAAATCAGCTGATCTTATGCAATCAGAAACCAGGAAACAACGGCACATAGATTATGTATTTCATCCTATGCTAACCTCTCCTGTGGCTTAAGGATAAAAAGATATAATGTAACACTTCTTTAGCTATTAATTATCATGTACTGTACATGTATATGGGCAGAGTGGATCTCATCCAAAAGACTATCAAAACCATGTTTAACAAACATGCTGAATCATCTTTTTATTTATCTTTTTAAATGC